TGGGGGAAGAAGAAGAATAAACATATAAATAATACACAGTGGAACAACCCAAAAGATATTTTTGTTTAAAAAATTAAAAATAAAAATGTTCTATTTTGGTTTGTGCTTATTTGCATGTAACCTTTTTGTCAGATTTAAGCAGTTGGAGTAGAATAAGAGGTGAAAAGGAAATAGGTTAGTAAGAAGGGTTGGAATTGGAATGGGAGATAGAAGGAAACAGGAAGATGAGAGGAAGGTGGAAAAGGAAGAGTGGACAGAAGGTGATAGAGGTAGAAAGGAGGAGAGGAAATAGATACTTGATTTTCCATCTAGAAACACTCATTGGAAAGAAGGCCTAATGCCAGGATATATGCTGTGCTTTGAGGCCTTAAAAAGAAAATTCCTGCTTCTAATTGTTGGTGTAACAATGGCCATTGGATCTTTTGTCTTTTTTTTGTTTGTTTTTAAGGGGATGGGAGAATCTTCTCACTTACAGTCTTAACATCTTTAGAGTTCTCCATTCAATACAGGTTATACATGTTTTTTGCTTTGGTCTATATGTTATTTTGTTATAACAAATTAAGAAATCAATTTTCTTATCTACTCTACTATAGTAATTTTTTTTTTTTGTCTTTTTCCGTGTCCGGCAATGGATCGCAACCCTCAGTGTTGCCCCCGTACCGGACCGGGGACCGGCAACGGGATTGCAACCCTTGGCGCCGCTCCCGCACCTCGCTCAGCCAGTGAGCGGGAACCGGTCTGTATGTGGGATCCGAACCCTCGGGCGGGAGCGCCGCCACGCTTCCCAAGCGGCGCACTTATCCAGTGCGCCACCGGGCCGGCCCTACTATAGTAATTTTTAATAGGACAAAATTAATCATTGCTTTCTTATGTATAATGTATATTAGATTTTATCTTATATGTACTAAATTAATTCTGACTCTGAAAACAATTTTCTACTTCATTTATTTATACCTATCCCACAATTTCAGGGAAAGGATAATATTTTAAGTAAACTATTCCTCTCTTAAATTTTGGGACACAGTTGGTAATTGACTTGATTAGATGTAGGCTTTATATTCTAAAATTTTCTATTAAATGTGTACTTTTCACAGACATTATTGCAGATCTTTATTAAATCTCTTGACAGACTGAAATATTTCTTTGTTATTCTTCAGTATTCAGATATTCATTAATTTTTTTCAGCTTTATTTTAAGACTGTTACTTGAAAAGTATCTTAAAAGCACACTGTTTTTGTAATACAAGAAAGGTGGCTGCTTTTTTGTGCATTATACTTTTTAAGCAATGTGATACCTTTCAAGAGTTAGCTTTCAAATTTCTTAAAGATAAAAATAAAATAGTTAATGCTTAAATAATCCTGACTTTAGTTCTGTTTAGTGTGGAGTCTGTCCTGTTAAGTAACCATTAAACTTTTTAATAGAAAGGACCTTTTAAAAGGTCAAAAATTAAGAGTTAAATTATCTTGAACAGTAACAGATGAATTTTTTCTGTAATGTAAATACAAATATGTAGAAGATAAATATATTCTAAACCTTCAGGGCCTCATTTGCCGTTAATACATAAAAGGTAAAAATGAGATAGGAAAAAAAGGTTTTATAGTCATCAGTGAGGTGGGATTTCCACATGGTATTTGAAAATGAGGAAAGATTTTAGACTTTACATTTTGTTAATATAGTATATTCATATAATTTTACACCTTTTATTGTTTTCTAGACAAAATAATATTTACCATATTTTTCTTGAATGTCTTTTAAAGGCAAATGTCTAGTTCCTGTGTTATTCTAAAAAGTCACCTTTAAATAAATTGGTTCAATGAGTTCTTCATTTAAAAGGGTATATATGAGGGTCTTCAAAAAGTTCGTGGAAAAATAGAATTAAAAGACAGTATGAATCTTTCCATGATTTTTTTGAAGTATCTTTGTAATTGTCAGTGTATAACTAACATACCTTTCCATTCTGTCCATACATTAACCCTGTGGGTTTTAGACGGTGTATGTGTATATACATTCCCAATTTCTTTTAAGTTCCTAGACATTGATGAAAATGTCATTTGTCGTTTAAATATTTAACAAAGATAGGATACTTACTTGCTTTTATCAATAAGTAGAGGCTAATGATGCTGCAGTAACATACAACCAAAAAACAAAAAATCTCAGTGGCTGACAACAGCAGACATGGTAGAACCACGTGATGACTCTTAAAGCTTTTGCTTGGACTTGGGATGTTAACTTCAGTTCACATTTCATTATTTGAATAAGTCATATGTCCAAGCTTGATGTCAATGGGGCAAGAATTATAGCCTTTCCACAAGGAAGGGCCTAGAGAAGGAGGGGCAGTGAATATTTTCACAGTAACACAATTTCCCATATTACTTCTTATAAAGATAAAATTAACTATTAAATATGTAAATATCAAAGGAGAAAATCATAATTTTCTGAAAGTTTAGTGAAAAATCTCATTAATTTAGAAATTGATGAGTTAGGCAAGCAGTATTTGTTTACCTTTGCATTATATATGTTGTAAGCATTTACTAAAACAACAAATACTTGTGTAATCTGTGACAGAGTGCTTAACCTTAAGGCGAGAAGTTTTTTGAGTACTTAGAATGTATTCGTTTGCATGCATCAGTATCCCAGAGAGTGTTCTGATAGAAAGCTAATATTTATAGATATCAGTAAGGAAGAATGTTTCTGGAGCTAAATATGTTGGGAAAACTGTATACTGTACTATACCCACCTCTTAGATATTTACATCAGAATGTGAAATGCTTGGAGAAATCCTTTTGTTTGTTTAGCTTTGTTTAATTCAGTATTTCCCAGATTTACTTGACTTTGGAACCTGTATTTTTAAGCAATACCTATTAAATTTTCTTGAGGAAATCCTGACATAAGGAAGGTGGTATGCTAATTGCAGCTTTTCATTGTCTCTGGCTCCTTGGTACTTAACCTCTTCATTTTAGTGATGGTTCCTTAGTCTTTGTAATTCAAAAAAATGTATTTAATTTTTGAACAACAGAGTATCCTAATTCAGAGGAACTGCCTGGTAGAATGAACTATTCTGAAGTAGATTCAGTCTATTTTTAGGTGTTCTTTTGGTTTGGGGTCCCTGGGTCCTGTGTCTAGATCTTGAAAAATGTCCTCAGTACCACCCACATACCACTTATTGTCTCAGAGTTCTTATAATGTAATGCCATAGCATAGCTGACATTTTTAAGGTTAGGATCATGGGACAAGCTTGTCTTTTTTTTTTGTCTTTTTCCGTGTCCGGCAACGGATCGCAACCCTCAGTGTTGCCCCCGCACCGGACCGGGACCGGCAACGGGATCGCAACCCTCGGTGTTGCTCCCACACCTCGCTCAGTCAGTGAGCGGGAACCGGTCTGTATGTGGGATCCGAACCCTCGGCGGGAGCGCCACCGCACTCCCAAGCGGTGCACTGTAGCAGTGCGCCACCGGGCCGGCCCCCGCCTGACTTTTAATGAAATTTTT